GCGGTTTTTGGCGCACAGGGCGGGCCCAGGCCCCCGAGCGAGGGCATTTACGCAGCGCCCGCAGCCTTCCGCGGGTCTCTCCAAGGGGAACCAGCCGCGCGCGCCTCCTCTCCGCGCCGGGGCTCCGGCAGGTGGAAGGCGGAGGGACCCCCATCCAGGTGAGCGCGGGGAACCGGCCCGCACGGCTCCGGAGCGCGGGGGGAGGGGGGGAAGGCGGAGGGGAAACCCCCCCCGGGAAAGGCGGGGCTTCTGCAGAGGCGGGGCGCGAGGGAGCCAGTGCGTAAAGCTCGGGCTGAGCGCGAATAAGCAAGCGGTGGAGACGGCGATGGGAAGGTTCCTCCCACGTTGGGCGAGCGCGCGTGGGAGCCACTTCGGGGGTGGGGAATCCCCGAAGGTGGGTGGGAGGAAACTGCGTCCACAGATTTTTTTTGGGGGGGGGGAATCCCGTGGAAGGGAAAAGTGGGGGAGGCTGCCAAAATGCAATCCTGGGCGCAGACTTTGGAGAGATCCCGGGTGGTCCCTTGCAAATTTTTTTTTTTCAGCAAAAATCTGAAAATTAAAAAAAAAAAAGTTTTCAATTTTTTTTCCAAAAAAAAAGTTTTCAATTTTTTTGCCCCCCTCCAAAAAAAGGAAAAAATTCCGTTCAACTGGGCTTAGGAATTGCATCCTGGCAGTGGTGGGATTCAGCCAGTTCGTACCAGTTCGGGAGAACCGGTGGTTAACTTTCTGAGCAGTTTGGCAAGCTGGTTTGTGGAAGAAATCATTAGGGCAAAGAACCGGTTGTTAAATTACTTGAATCCCACCGCTGCACCCCCAGCCCATCTGTAGGCGGGAGATGCCAAATCGTCGCGGCATCTCATCATTTTCCCAAAATAGACCAGCGGCTCCGGGTTCCTTTTCAGGGATGGAATGAATTGTCCTCGATATATTTAAAGGCTGCAGCTGGTATATATATTTTACGAATCTGGTTTTTCCCCTAGCCTGAGTTAGTTTTAAAATTCAAATGTTTACCATACAGGCAATCCTTGATTTATGACCGCAATTGAGTCCCAAATTTCTGTGGTTAAGTGAGACGTTTGTTGAGTGAGTGTTGCCCCATTTTATGACCTTTCTGGCCCCAGTTGGTAACTGAATCACTGCAGTTGATAAGTTAATAGCCCGATTGTTAAGCAAATGTGGCTTTCTCATTGACTTTGCTTGTCAGAAGGTCACAAAAGAGGATTGCGGGACCTCAGGATACTGCAGCCGTCATAAATATGAACCAGTTGCCAAGTGTCTGAATTTTGATCACATGACCTCAGGGTCATAAGTGTGAAAAATAAGACATAAGTCACTGTTTTCAATCCCGTTGTAACTTTGAATGGTCACTAAATGAACTGTTGTAAATCGAGGATTACCTGTACTGCATTCTGTCCATGACTGCTCTTCGTTAAATTACATTTAATTTACCTCCATTATTATTACCGTGTTTCCAAAAATAAGACCCTGTCTTATAATTTTTTTGAACCCTGAAATAAGCACTTTGCCTTATTTTGGGGGAGGTCTTATTATTTGGGGGCGCTTGGAGCAAGATGGGGCTCCTCTTGCTATCTTACCTGATTTCCAGCTCTGCGTTTAAATATTTTCAAGGAGGGCTTATTTTCAGGGGGGGGCTTATTTTAGCGTATGCGCTCAAAAGCTTGATTGGGCTTATTATTGGGGGATGTCTTATTTTTGGGGGAAACAGGGTTTTGGCTGGATGCATATCATCCTAAGAGCTTTGTCCAAAGGATCACTTGCTAGTGGGCTCAATAATAAAATCTGCTGATTATTTTGGGCGATAAATGACAATTACTTCTTAGATCTATTGTAATTTCATGACGGTGCATCTGGCAGAGGCAAGTGGCCAACTCTGGATGGGGTAGTGGGGAGAAATCTCGGTAGAAACAAGAGTGCTAGAAAGTTGTAAATCTTGAAAACAAGTTCTGAGTGTGCGCGGAACACATATACCCACACAAGCACACACACACGCGTGCACCTCCCCTTTGTTTTTGTTTTTTTTGTTTTGTTTAATTTTAAATATTTCATTAGTTTTAAAAGTAAAACAATGGACATTGCTCAATGTCTCTGGTTTTTAACATTTGCGTCTAAATCAAGTTAATAAGTAATCTATTCCTTAATCTATATACACATTTACATATCTGTAAATAGGAGCCTGAGTGGCGTAGGAGGCTAATGCCTCCTACTAAGGCAGCATTTAACATCCAGCTGCCTGCAATTACTGCGAGTTCAATTCTCACCAGGCTCAAGGTCGACTCAGCCTTCCATCCTTTCTAAGGTGGGTAAAATGAGGACCCGGTTTGTGGGGGCAATAAGCTGACTTTGTATAAAATATACAAAAGTATGAAGGCTATTGCTTAACGCATTGTAAGCCGCCCTGAGTCTCCGGAGAAGGGCGGCATATAAAAATAAATAAATAAATAAATAAATATCTCCTATTTCATTATATATCAAGTATGCAGTGTTTTACTTCCTAAACAACTATGCATGTATTTAATAAACCTATATTACATTCACAAATTCAATATACATTGATATATTGATATACATTGATATATCCATGTATATCCCCTTTGTATTACTAGAGTATGTAATAATAGGAGATAAATCTCTTGCCTATATAGACCCTTTAAAGGCAGCTGGCTGGGCAGGAGTTGATATCAATGTGTTTCTCTTCTTTCCAGATGCAGAAGTTCCTGCAGCTTTTTGGGCGTCTGAAATCGGTCATCCTTGGCATGGTGCATGTCAGAGCATTGCCAGGTAAATGCCTTCTCGTTGTTGTTTCTCTTTAAAAGACATAGGAAAAATGGGGATATTACCAAGGAGCGGTGGGAAAGTAGAAGATAGTTTTCCTACTGTTCAGTAGCAATAGCACACTTCATAGTGTTTCCCAGCCCTCTCTAAGCGGTTTACAAAGTCAGCATATTGCCCCCAACAATCTGGGTCCTCATTTGACTGATCTAGGAAGGATGAGTCAACTTTGAGCCGGTGAGAATCGAACTGCTGGCAATCGGCAGAGTTAACCTGCAATACTGCATTCTAACCACTGCGCCTCATGGCCCAGTAGACCTATTGATCTGCCCGCCTTGGTGGATGTAAAGTAAATCTCCAATAAATTTATGTCTAATATCTCTCCCAGCCAACCTGGAGTTCAAATTGGGGAATTTTTGTTTGCAAAGTATGGACAATACCACTGGATCCTTGCATTATAGTGAACGGTGCCCATTAGGTTGGTTTGCCTCAGTTTCTCCAACAAGTTTTCTTCTTCCACTGTGTTTACAGAGTAAGTCTACCTTAAAACTTACTCCCAAAGCTGTATCAACTTATATGATCTAGTATTGAAGGAAAGGAAATTCATAAATAGGATAATAATAATAATAACTTTATTGTCATTGTATGTATATACACAGTATACCCATACAATCAAATTAATTTAACACCCAAAGACCAGGTCCAACATACATAACAATCCCCAAACACACCCCACCCACCCACCACAAATTCCCCGGCTCTGAACCACCCAAACATCCACACAACAGACCAAGTAATGCTGTCCAACAGCTCACTGATGGTGGCCCTTTAGTTCATTGTTGAGTGCAATTATAGCTCTGGGATAAAAACTATTCAGAAAACGTGTGGTCCAAGTTTTAATTGTTCTGTATCTTCTGCCAGAAGGCAACAGTCCAAAAAGATGGTAAGCAGGATGGGAAGAGTCTCTGAGAATGTTATGCAACTTTCTCAAATAGTGAGATTCGAAGATGTCATCCAGGGCTGGTAGCTGGAGCCCGATGATATTCTGGGCAGTTTTAATGATTCTCTGTAGAGCTTATTTGTTCGCTACAGAGCTGCTCCCATACTATGCAAGAATGCCGTATGTCAGGACACTCTCAATGGTGGTGCGATAATAGATGCTAAGATAGATTTATCTTCCGAGCACTCTCGGTGCTTTGCCTTTATTTCTGAAGGCGGTCTACATAATATGAAATAGGGATATCATATTATGTAATATCAAATTAACTCAGTTCAGTAATACACTTGAGTGCTTTTGTACTGGAGACAAATTCCTTGTGTGTCTCACCACAATTGGCCAAATAAATAAATAAAATATAGTTTTTTTAATACCAGAGGAAGTAATCAGCATACAAGTGACTTAAAAGAAGATGTTAGGTAATTAGAATAACAGAGTTAGAAGGAACCTTGGAGGTCTTCTAGTCCAACCCCCTGCTTAGGCAGGAAACCCTACACCACTTCAGACAAATGGTTATCCAACATCTTCTTAAAAACTCCCAGTGTTGGAGCATTCAAAACTTCTGGAGGCAAGTTGTTCCACTGATTAATTGTTCTAACTGTCAGGAAATTTCTCCTTAGTTCTAAGTTGCTTCTCTCCTTGATTAGTTTCCACCCATTGCTTCTTGTCTTGTTTTCAGGTGCTTTGGAGAACAGCTTGACTCCCTCTTCTTTGTGGCAACCCCTGAGATATTGGAACACTGCTATCATGTCACCCCTAGTCCTTCTTTTCATCAAACTAGACATACCCAGTTCCTGCAACTGTTCTTTATATATTTTATCCTCAAGTCCCCTAATCATTTTTGTTGCTCTTCCCAATTCCCTTTGTTTGATTCCTTTTTGAATAGACTTGTCTTTGAGTATGGCAAAGTTTAATGAGCGCAATTGTCTATATCATCTTTGCAGGGTCACCATGTGGTACATTGCCTTTGGCTCAGATCATTGAAGAAGCCTGTGGAGAGGCTGAAATGTATAGGGCTGCTGGCGTCGTAAGTCCTTTCTTTTACTTTCTTTCCTGTTTTTGAATGTTCTTAGTTCTTAATCTTAGTTCTTCTATAGATGTGAGTGCAAAGCATTCAGGATAACAAAGCTTGACTGATTTGAGTTGGTTTGGAAGCTATGCAGCGCTAGATAGCATCGTGATTAGATTGGGGGTTACCAACATATCTTGTGATTCAGCAGTTGAAAGAATGTTTTAAAATCATTCTAGAAAAAGACATTGGCAAACCATGCATGCAGTGCCGCTAACAATACACATGGACATCTTACATGAAGTCACTGGAAGTTGAACATCTGGAAGTTCAGCGGTTCGAATCCCTAGTGACGCGTGTAGTCATGCCAGCCACTTGACTCCAGATGTCTACATGGTCAGGTGCTGCTACCGACGACCTCCCAGCGACCCGTGCGCTCCCACAGAGAGGGCCTCCTCGGGGTGCCATCAGCCAAACAATGCAGGCTGGTGACCCCCAGGGGGAGGGCCTTCTCTGTGGGGGCACCTACCCTCTGGAATCAGCTCCCCCCAGAGATAAGGAGAATCCAAGACCTCAGTGCCTTCCGTCGCGCCCTTAAAACCCATTTATTTAAACAAGCCGGGCTGGCTTAAGATGAAATTTTTAACTGTTTTTAAATGTTTTAAACGTTTTTAATTGGTAAATGAGTTTTAATTGGGCCAAATTTATATATCTTTTAATTGTTTTTAATATTTGTTCCGCATGTTTTTTAATCTGGCTGTACACCGCCCTGAGTCCTTAGGGAGAAGGGCGGTATAGAAATCCAATATAAATAAATAAATAAATAAATAAATGTGGCCAGCATGACTCAACGCCAAAGGCGCACGGAACGCTGTTCCCTTCCCACCAAAGGTGGTCCCTCTTTTTTTACTTGCATTTTTTACGTGCTTTCGAACTGCTAGGTTGGCAGAAGCTGGGACAAGTAACGGGAGCTCACCCCGTTACACGGCACTAGGGATTCATACTGCTGAACTGCTAACTTATTTCAGTATAAGACACCTGTAATTTGCAGACTTGGGATGCAAGTCCATTATTCTTAATATTTCCCCCAACTCTGTTCTGTTTAACATTTAGCTTTATGTTCTGACCTAGGCTTCCTGAGTCATTAAAAAACACGAGTAGTCCCAAAAACCTCTTTTATTGCAACAGCTGTGAATTCTGTTCATTCACAGATGAGTCCCAATTAGTTATAAAGAGTCCTTCGGGAGAAGTCCTTCGGGATAATCACCCACCTTTATCTCCCTTGACACACTGCCAAAGACCTAATTGGCAAAGCCACACGGATCCAGAATCAAACAGAGCTTCAGGCTTTAAGCTGAACTGAATGAACAAACGTTGCTTCCTGCAAAGGCCCATGTGCCTTTGCTTCTGATTAAGCCTTATGGGAGGGGCCAATCATCTCCCAACCCTACTCCCGAGTCGTCCCTTTTGTTTTAGCTGTTCTTGTCTTTTGGCAGTTCTGCGCATGCGCGCACTGGGAATAGGCTCCTCCTGTTCTTCTGCCTCTCTGATGTCTGACTCTGGAGGCAGTACATACCTCCCAGATGGCCCTTTCTCTGCTTCCGACGCAGAGCCCTTTTTTTTTTTTTTAATTTGATTTATATGCCGCCCTTCTCCGGAGACTCAGGGCAGCTTACAATGCGTTAAGCAATAGCCTTCATACTTTTGTATATTTATACAAAGTCAGCTTATTGCCCCCACAAACTGGGTCCTCAATTTACCTACCTTAGAAAGGATGGAAGGCTGAATCAACCTTGAGCCTTGGAGAGATTCGAACCAGCAGTAATTGCAGGCAGCTGTGTTAATAACAGGGTGCTTTAAACCACTGTACTACCAAGGCTCTTCTACCAAGCCCTTGTCCGAGCCTTCCCCAGACTCCTCACTGTCCGACTCTGCTGCCAGCTCCGCAGGCTGCTGGCGGATCACAACACTTTCTGGAGAACTCAAAAACTTGCCTTCAATTTTATCACATTTTAGTTGGTAACCATTCCTTTTCGCAGCGATCCTGGGCTCTTTCCTAGCCTCTATTTGGGATAAGGAGTGCTGAAACTGAAATAGAAAAATAACTACCCCCCTCCAAAAAAATAAATCACATGTGCCTCATGCTTCTTCTTTTTTTTTAAGAGTGTGCAGACATGACTGATGAAAGCACATCTTCAGTTTTTCTTTTTAAGGTGCCTCGTTTGATGCATTAGTGATTCTTTTTAAAAAGAACGTAATAAATATGGAAGATTTATAATGTTGGAGCGCATAAATGAAAACAAGTGAATGCTCAGACATGATGCCATCTGTGCTGAAAAATTATAGCTGCTCTGTGCTTGTTTTGCCAAACACAATCAAAATTGCCATGACAAGATTATATGCGGTGACAGATCCCAAGGAGTTTAGAGCTCTCTCAGTTTTGCCAGTTTCTGATATTGTTGTTCTAAAAGGAATGGGATGTGTGTGTGTGTGTGTGTGTGTGTGTGGAAAGACAGTGGCATTTTTATAGAATTACTAATATTTGTCAGTAAAATATCTGTAACTCATCATTAATGTTACTGGAGAATCCATAACTCCAAATGTCAGTGATGTATCGTCCCTAAACATTTTTATTCAATCCTAATTCTTCCTTTGAAATTTACCCATAGCGTAAAGAGAAAGGATTACTATTAGTGAAAATGGCAGCTATAATTCAAGACCAACAGAGTTTAACCTCTTCTTTGGGAAGAATCAAGCGATCTAATTAAGTGTCGATGGGTTGAAGTGTACAATCTTTATGAATTGTTTGTGGCTACTTCTTTAGATCAGATTAACAGTGTTGGAAGGGATCTTGTAAATCATGTAGTCCAACCCCCTGCCCAAGTAGGAGACCCTACACCATTTCTGACAAATGGCAGTCCAATCTCTTCTTGAAAGCCTCCAGTGATGAAGCTCCCACAACTTCTGAAGGCAAACTGTTCCATTGGTTGATTGCTCTCACTGTCAGAAAATTTCTCCTTATTAGGTTGAATCTCTTCTTGATCAGTTTCCATCCATTATTCCTTATCTGGCCTTCAGGTGCCTTGGAAAATAGCTTGACCCCTCCTCTCTGTGGCAGCCCCTCAAATATTGGAGCACTGCTATCCTGTGTCCCTGGTCCTTCTCTTCACTAGACTAGCCATGCCCAGTTCCTGCAACCGTTCTTCATATGTTTTAGCCTCCAGTCCCCTAATCATCCTGGTTCTTCTTTTCTTCACTCTTTCTAGAGTCTCAATGTCTTTTTTATAGTGTGGTGACCAAAACTGGATGCAGTATTCTAGGTGTGGTCTTACTAAGGCTTTAGAGAGTGGTATTAGTACCCCACTTGATCTTGATTGTATCCCTCTGTTAATGCAGTTTAGGATTGCATTGGCTTTTTTGGCAGCCGCTGCACACCGCTGGCTCATATATAGCTGGTTGTCCACTAAGACTCTAAGATCCTTCTCACAGTCACTGCTATTAAGCCTGGTTTCCTCCAGTCTATATGTGTATGTTTGTTTTTTCTTGCCCAAGTGTAAGACTTTACTTTTCTCTACATTGAATTTCATTTTGTTAGATAGATTTGTAAAAGATGTGGCTGACATAATTATAAGCGTTGGTGTTTTGAACTTCACTATGTTTATACATTGATTGTGACTACTTGTGTAAAAGTTACATTTTTGAAGATGAGGATTACTGATGACATTTGGGTTAAATATGCTGCTTTTCTCTGTTTGGGACACAGACACTAATATGATATCTCTCTCTATCTAATATTACCTTAATATCTTAAGTCTGTTGTTAGTATTATTTTCAATTAATTAATAGTGATACTAACCTCCAAAGCTCTATTATTGAGTTCCTCTATGAAAATGTTACAGAATACAGAATAAGAGAGTTGGAAGGAATCTTGGAGGTCTCTAGTCTACCCTCCTGCTCAAGCAGAGACCCTATACCATTCCAGATATTCTGGCTGTCCAATCTCTTCTTAAAAATCTCTACTGATGGAGCACCTATATTTAAGAGCAATCTTCCTTTCTTGTTATGCTTGATTTAAAGCTGAAGAGGAGAACAAAAGAATTTCTACACCCCATGATTTTTGACATGTGATAGCTAATTCCCCCCCCCCCCCCCCCCCCCCAAATCAGACATGATTTGACTAAAATAATTCAGGGAGCTTTCCATTAATAGTTTTCTTGTTATTCCTGAACTGGGAAATAATTGGGAAATGCGTTAGGATCTTAAACCAGGGAAGATAGATGAAGATTCCAAATTCTTTTTACCTATTTCTGAAACCAGCAACCATCGTTTCCCAGTTCATACATCACGAAGAAGTTTAGCTAATTGAGAACTTCAGAGGTTAATTATTACATGCTCGAAAGGAAGAATGAGAAAAAGCAACGTGCACAAGTCAAAAAAAAAAAAACTTGTTCACATTAAGTCTTTATTAAGACCTTATTAAGTTAGGATGTGATCCTTCAAACACAGCCAGCAAATATATGAGATATATAGGATATATGAGATGGTGGAAGGAAGGCTGCTGAACAGGGAGCTGAGTGGCTGTTTTCATTTTAGCAAGCTGTTTGAAACATATTGGGAAAATATCCTTCTCCATCATCTTGTAAGCTTTTGCTGCTAACTTCTGCGAGTTCTCCTACATAGAGACCTAGAAGTCTTCGTAGTTACGCCTTCGAGAAGCATTAATCCAGAAGCTTAGCCACATACACCCAAATGGATGATGTGTCTCTTTGTGTGACTTTTGGTAGCCAAAACAGAGTTTCCAGAGAGTTGCTTTAGGCTTCTGAGTAGACAGAGAAATATAGTCCTCAACTTACAGCTGGTTTCCCCAAATGCGCTTTTCCAGGAGGCCACTGGACTCTCTTGTTTGTTCTTTGAAGATGTTTCGCTTCTCATCTAAGAAACAGCAAAATTGTCATCAAAAAAGCACAACAAAGAATGTCCTTTTTGCACCAACTCAGAAAGTTCAAATTGCCCAAGGAGCTGCTGATCCAGTTCTACAGAGGAATTATTGAGTCTGTCATCTGCACCTCTATAACTGCCTGGTTTGGCTTTGCAACCCAACAAGACCGACACAGACTTCAGAGGATAATTAGAACTGCAGAAAAAATAATTGCTACTAACCTGCCTTCCATTGAGGACCTGTATACTGCATGAGTCAAAAAGAGGGCTGTGAAAATATTTACAGACCCCTCACATCCTGGACATAAATTGTTTCAACTTCTACCCTCAAAACGACACTATAGAGCACTGTACACCAGAACAACTAGACACAAGAACAGTTTATTCCTGAATGCCATCACTCTGCTTAACAAATAATTCCCTCAACACTGTCAAACTATTTACTAAGTCTGCACTACTATTAATCTTCTCATCGTTCCCACCACCCATCTCCTTCCACTTATGACTGTATGACTGTAACTTTGCTGCTTGTATCCTTACGATTTATATTGATATTGTTTCCTGATTGCTTATTTGTACCCTACGACTATCATTAAGTGTTGTACCTTATGATTCTTGATGAACGTATCTTTTATTTTGTGTACACTGAAAGCGTATGCACCAAAGACAAATTCCTTGTGTGTCCAATCACTCTTGGCTAATAAAAAATTCTATCTATTCTAAGAAGCTTCTTCAGCGCTTCTATTCCCCACCATCCAATCAGAGCTGAAGAAGCTTCTTGGATGAGAAGCGAAATGTCTTCAAAGGAAAAAAAATACAAGAAAGTCCAGTGGCCTCCTGAAAAATCACATTTGGGACAACCATGACCTGCATGACTGAGAATCTCTACAGACTTTACAGCTGGTTTCTTAACAACCATTCAAAGTTATGACAGACCCCTCCAAAAAGAACTTGCAATCCAGTTCGGCAACCAGCTTGCATTTTCAACCATTTGCAGCATCAGTGGTCCCATGACTACAATTGATTATGTTTTTGGTCAAAAACGGCTTTGCTTTAAAGACCGTGGCATTTGCTTAACAACCACGCATTCACTCAACAAGCAGACTCCATTACGGTCATAAGTCAGGGAGTACCTGTCCTGTCCTATCTGCTTCGCAGTAGTTCTGATTCCTTTTTTCTCCGGCCGTTTTCCGAAGCTCTTCTGACTTGAATAGTGTCTTCTGCATTTATTCCCACAGGACGGCTTGATTGTTGAAAATATGCATGACCGGCCTTACACATTCGACGTTGGTGCAGAGGTTACAGCAGCTATGGCGGTGATTTGTGCCTCAGTAAAACAGGCGTGTCCCACGCTCCCCTTTGGGGTTCAAATACTATGTGCTGCAAATCAGCAAGCTTTAGCTGTTGCCCTTGCTTCAGGTGAGTGAAGGAACCTTCTTCTTTTTCTTCTTCTTCTCCTCCTTCCTTCCTTCCTTCCTTCCTTCCTTCCTTCCTTCCTTCCTTCCTTCCTCCTCCTCCTCCTCTGTCAGGGCATTTATTAATCCCATGTTTGGCTCTGGGACTAATTACCCTGGTTTAGAGGAGATGAATCTTGGCTTATTCCAAGTTGCAATAATCTGAAAAGAAACGCGAGGAAGGTTTCTAATAAAACTCATTTATTTGTTATAAAGAAAATAAAACACCTCACTAACTAAGAAAAGTTAATTGTTACATTTTTGAAAGTAATTCGGGCCGGCTATCTCTTAGCCGGACCTTGCTGGAAAAAGAACAAAGGAAAGAGAGTGTGAAGAAGCAAGTGAAGGAATGTGGGGGGATACGGAAACACGTAGCTTACTGATAAGAAGTTGGCAAAGCTACGGAGAGTCTGACAGTCCAGAAATGATGAGTTCAGCTGGCAAATAAAATAACGCAGTGACATCCTCATCCTCCTCCTCTCCTCCTCCTCTTTCTTCTCCTTCTCCTTTATTAGTTTATAATATAAAATACAAAAGCAAATAATAGGAAAAATAAGGGAGAGAAAAGGGAAGGGAAAAGTGCAGAAAAAAAGGGGGGAAAGAAAGAAAAGCTGTTGATTTTCAACTCCCTTTGGTGCAGTAGAATAAGATACTGTGTTTCCCTGAAAATAAGACCCTGTCTTATTTTTTTGTTTTGAACCCTGAAATAAGCGCTTGGCCTTATTACCATGCGCTCAAAAGCCCGATTGGGCTTATTATCAGGGGATGTCTTATTTTGGGGGAAACAGGGTAATAGCATCAAACCTCAACTTTTTACTTGTACATAATAATATAAACTAGCCATTTCTATAACAACAAACCTATCTAATCGGTAAAATCCAAAATCACAGTTTCATTTTTTCCCCACCTCAAGCACCATAGACACCTTCTGACTGCGCAGCTGTGTGTCACAAGGGCTGTGCAACATGGGAGTACGAATGTAGCCGCCTCCTGGAACATCGCTGTTCTGTCTAAAGGTGCAACTGCTTTAAAAGAGTTGCAGACCAGTGCTTCGCTTCAAAGCACCTTTTGGAGACTGAATCTTGCTCAGTCTTAATCCTGGCTGTCCCAGTGGCCATCTTAGTCCCAGCACCATGTGGGTCGTTAAGCAGGAAGAGGCAGGAATTCTGGGTAAGGAGTAGGAGGGAATGGGAGGGCAGGCAGTCCCGAGAGGGCCTCAGGCATGTGATGGGGAACATGGGTAGACCAACATAGGTGTTGTGTCCTGTCGGCCGCCAGCCCCTCCAGCAGCCAAATCAGAGGAGGAGGAGGGGTGGGAGTTGGGGTCAGCATCAAGGCAACCTGAGAGCTCCGAGGGGGAAGAGGGAATGGAGCTGGCAGAGAGAGAGAGAGAGAGACAGACAGACAGACAGACAGACAGACAGACAGACAGACAGAGAAGGAGCCTTGGCTGTCTGTCAGCCCTCAGATGGAGAATCAACAGCCCCCAGGTCTGGAGGTGGCTGATGAGGAAGAGGAGGAACAGCTGGGTCCAGTGCCTGACACGCAGATGCGCAGAAGGCAGAGGAGAGGAGAGCAGTGGAAATCTATGGGCCGGTCCTTGGGACAGAAGAGCCACCGCTGCTAGTGAAGCCCCTACCCTAGCTCTGGGGATAAAAGGTAGGGGTCGGAGATGAATAGATGTGGCAGACAACTATTCATCTTCCAACTGGAGAGACTTGTTAGCCTGTGTTGAGAGAGAAACTTTTAGCCGGGACTGCTGGCGCTCCTAATAAAGGAATCTTTGAGTTCACTTGAGAGAGTTTGTCGTGCTTGGGGAGTTGGCTTAGAACAATAGGCATGGGCTGTGTGCTGTGGACAGGTGGGCGTTACAGAGCATGGATGAGGTGTGCTGTGGGATATGACATCCCTGGAGTCTCATACTCTTGTGGGGCTCCTTGGAAGAAAAAACAGAGGCGACTAACGGGAGCGACTTGTGACATTCCGTGCCATCTTCCGGAATTTCCAATGTTCCACAAAAAAAACCATCCACAGAAGTGCATTCATTTGCACTTCTCACTTAATGACTGCCACAAAAAACAACCTTGTAAAATTGGATCCAGTCACGTAGGATTGAAATGTCTTTGCTTTTGGGAAGTGGCCAGAGAAGGTCACAAATGGTAACCTTACGAGTCCACAGCGATGACCGCAACTTTGTGGACAGGTCGTAAGCCTTCCTCCTTGTTCAGCATCGTTGTAATGTTGAACGGTCACTGAACGAAGTGGTCATAACTCGAAGAAGGAGGAGAGAAACAACCTGACACTGAGGAGAAACTTCCTAACAGGACAATTAATCAGTGGAACAGAAGTTGCCTTCAGAAGTTATGGATGCTCCATCACTGGAGGTTTTGAAGAAGAGACTAGACAACCATTTGTCTGAAATGGTATAGGGTTTCCTGCTTCAGCAGGGGGGGTGGACTAGAAGACCTCCAAGGTCCCTTTCAGCTCTATTCTGATTCTGAATATCTCTTAATGTGTGTTTTATCTTTCTCACCTGGAGGGGGAAAGAGTTGACTGATCTCAACCGATGATGGAAACTTGTGGTTTCATAAATACTGCCTGGATTTATTTATTTTTTACTGTGTGTTTCCTTAGAAGTGCTTCCTATGACTCAAATGCTTCTCGTTATGGCTTTTATGGAGCAGTTGCTTTGCTTCAAGCATGGTACACAAGAGAGATGCAAGCAGGGTCATTTTTCATTTCCTAACCTTTGTTTTTCTACCACTGTGGTCTCTTTTTTTATTATTATTTCCAGCAACAACAACAAAAAAATCCATTAAGGAATGACAGATGGAATAGCTACAAAGTTGTATTTATTATTGCTGTTTGTCTTGTTTCTTCTACCCTCCCTTCTTCTTCTTCTTCTTCTTCTTCCGGAGCCCTTTTTATTTTTCAGCACAACAAAAGCAATTCACTTAAAATAATATATCAACTTTGTCCCGAGAAAGACACAAGTTGCAACACATTTTGCTGTCTTTTCATGAAATAAATTACGCTATAGCACCAACTTGAGAGCCCCGACTTTCTCTCTGTGATTATTTAATGCTCGTTTTCCCAGCCTCTGTATTCTCCTGATGTTGGCATAATTCCTAACTTTATAGGGAAAAAAAAATCAGAGAAAAAAATCAGCTCTAGGAGCACACAGTTCAAAGGCCTGGATTAGGCCATCAGCTTTCTGAGCCCTACTCCTCCTTCCCTCTTGCACACGCTTTGCACAACTTTCGTTGGTGCGGAGTTTTATGAGCGGCAGATTGAAAGCTCAGCGTAAATAAGTCTTATCGGGACATCAAAGTTACTTTCTTCTTGGTGCATTTCAGAGCTGACCGCGGATAATATTAACACGAGTGCTACTTGTGATGTAATGGAGCTCTTTACTTCCTTTGAGGATGGAAAATAATTAGGCATTACAGTAGTCTTCAACTTACAACCACAATTAAGCCAGTAATTGGTTTCAATTTAATTTGCTACTGGTTCGCTCGTGCGTACATGTGATGCTTCTGCACATGCGCAGAAGCGTCTGGGTGGGTGGGCGGAACCTGACGACGACGACGCTACCAGTTTGTCTGAGCCGAGGCAAACCGGTAGCAACCCACCACTGAATTAAGCCCAAAATTTATCTCGTGAAGTGAAAAAAATTCTTAAGCAAATTTGTCCTGTCTTATGACTTTACTTGTCCCCGTTGTTAATAGCACTAGCACTGAGACTTATATACCACTTCACGGTGCTTTTACAGCCCTCTCTAAGCAGTTTACAGAGTCCGCCTCCTGCCCTCAACAATCTGGGTCCTCATTTTACCCACCTCAGAAGGACGGAAGGCTGAGTCAACCTTGAGCCATTGAGAATTGAACTGCTGACAGTCGGCAGAATTAGTCTGCAATGCTGCATTCTAACCACCGCACTACCAAGGGAAGGAGGGAGGAATAGCAATAGGAATAGCACCTGAATCTCATATACCGCTTCACAGTGCTTTACAGCCCTCTCTAAGCGGTTTACAGAGTCAGCCTATTTTCCCCCAACAATCTGGGTCCTCATTTTACCCACCGCGGAAGGATGGAAGGCTGGGTCAACCTTGAGCCTGGTGAGATTTGAACTGCCAAATTGCAGGCAGTCGGGAGAAGTAACCTGCAGTACTGCACTCTAACCACTGCACCCCCGTGGCTTAAGTTGAATCACTGCCGTTGTTAAATTAGTCACACGGTTGTTAAGTGAATCTGGCTTCCCCGTTAACTTTGCTGGTCAGAAGGTCACAAAATGACCCCTGAACACTGCAAACGTCCTGAAGATGAGTCCGTTGACAAGCATCTGAATGTCAAATCATGTGACCATCGGGGATGCTGCAATGGCCATAAGGGTGAAAGAATGGTCCTATTTTCAGTGCCGTCGTAACTTCAAACGGTCGCTAAGTGAACTGCTGTAAGTCAAGAACTACTTGTATTTTGCAAGTACAGGTAGCAATAACATTTAGACTTATATACCGCTTCACAGTGCTTTACAGCCCTGTCTAAGCGGTTTACACAGTCAGCATTTTGCCCCCAACAATCTGAGTCCTCAGTTTACCAACCTTAGGTAGTCCTTGACTCGCAATCAATTGCTTAGTCTCTCAGCCTTCCATCCTTCCGATGTCGGTAAAATGAGGACCCAGATAGTTTATTTATTTATTTATTGAATTTATATACCGCCCTTCTCCCGAAGGGACTAAGAGCGGTGAACAGCCGAAAATTAAAATAACATACAATATAAAAGTTAAGATAACTAAAAATAAATTCAATTAATCGGCCCCAAATTATTGCCCCCAATTAGTTGGGGGCAGTAGGCTGACTCTGTAAACCACTTAGGGCAATAAAGCACAGTGAAGCGGTATATAAATCTAAGGCTATTGCCCTTCCTTCCTTCCTTCCTTCCTTCCTTCCTTCCTTCCTTCCTTCC